AATTTTTCTATTAATCTTAGGTTATTCCCTAGATTCGATACTATATAGTTTAATAGGAAGAGAAACTAGAGATAAACGATAATAATTAAGTTATTTAAAGAAGGGCTTAGAATTCAGGATACTTAATAATTTAAAAAAGAAGCTATAGAGTAATTATTATAGTAATTAATTATTACTTCTATAGCTCTTAGATAACTAGCTAAGCTATTCGAGGGGAGTTCTTGATTTAAGAAAGATTAGCCTATAAATTAAATAATAGCTATATAATATACTATATATTCTATAAGATATTAGATTATTAAATATTTAGTAATATTTTAGCCTTTCTAGTATATACTCCGATTCTAGTAATATTAGAGACTTATTATCCTATTTTTAGTATAGACTAGATAGTCTATAACCTTACTATATCGTTTATATAAGAGCTTTAGCTCTTTTATCACTAAATATATAATTTAATCAAAATATGACTATATATTAATCTATTATAGACCCTTCTAGTTTATCTTTTTTGTAGTATTATAAGAACCACTAATTTAGGTATTAAGCTACTAGTTTAAAAACTCTATTTTATTTATACTATTAAAAATTACTTAGGTCTTTTTCTAATCGTCGGATCGTTTTAGTATTAGTGGTATAATAGGAGGGAGGCTTTATTTAGTTTATTAGCTTTTTAGTAGTTCTAAGAGGGTATCGAGAAGTTGATTAGAATAGAAAATAGATGATTTAAACCCCTTACTCTTAATAAAAAAGGGAGGGTACGAGGTAGATAACTAAGATATAGAAGAGATATAGTAATAGTATATTAAAATAAAGGACTCGAGATATAGAAAAATAATCTAAGGTAAATTATCATAGATTTAGGGGAATATATAGGTCTAATATTTATTTCTTATTAGTAGATAGGATTCGGCATTATCCTAGTACTAAATTTTATAACTAATTAGAAGATACTCTACTAATATATACAAAGCTTATTAGATAGTAAGAAATAGATTAACGGGTTAACCTATAGGTTAACCCGTTAACCTAAATAATTAAGTAAGAGTAATACCCTAAGACTTTTATTTTTATCCCCTAAAAATTTTAACCTAACCAGCCAACCTTTTTACGTAGATATATTAGAACCGGGGCTATAAGTAAACGCGTAGATAGATTAAAACTAGGGTTTTAAGTAATCACGTAGATAGATTAAAACCCTAGTTCTAATAGAGGTAGAAAGACTACTATAAAAAGATATATATTTTATTATATCTAGTAAAAGAGGGACTATATAACTCTTTTATAATAAGAGACTCGAGATATAGAAAAATAATCTAAGGTAAATTATTGTAGATTTAGAGTAATATATAGGTCTAATACTTATTTCTTATTAATAGGTAGAATTTAGTACTATCCTAGTACTAAATTTTATAACTAATTAGAATAGGCTCTATTAATATATACGAAGTTTATTAGATAATAAGAAATAGATTAACAGGTTAACCTATAGGCTAATCTATTAACCTAAATAATTAGGTAAGAGTAATACCCTAAGATTTTTCTTTTTATCCCCAAAAAATTTTAACCTAACCAGCTAATATTATTATTTTATATAAATTCAGAAAAAATATTTAAAATAATTCTTTTATATAAATAAGACTATAATATACTTATATATTAATAAAGAAATATTAGATATTAGATTTATATCTATTTTATTATTTCTAATATATATAGTTTATTTATATAAAAAGTAGAAGTACTACTATAGACTTTAAATATATATTTTTAGGTTTAGTATAAGAAATAGTTAACTAATATCTTCTTTTGTCTATATCTATCTATTATAAAATATAATTCTTACCTTAAAATATTAAATTAATAAATTAATATATTATATATTCTAAATATATTATTACTATATAATATTCTTTTTATAAAGAGTTAGAATTATAAGTTATATTAGAACAAAAATAGTATTTAATAATAGTATATTATTAAAAAAGATAAGCAAATTATCTATCCTAATTAAGAAATTTATACTAAAATAGGTCAAAAATAGGTTGACCCGTTAACCCACAGATCAACCTATAGGCGGGTCAGGATTTTATTGACCCGACCCATGGGTCGTGGGTTTGGGTTATGGGTCAAGATCTTTGACCCATGGGACGGGTCTGTCCATGTCTACCAAGAGGGGCCTCTGGGGTAGCCCTACTAGCATAGATTCGCTGTATATCAATCTGCCTTAGCGAATATCGAGATACTCGCTTATTGAGAAAGGTATATAGCCAATCAGATGCTAGTATCAGATATATTATCTAATCTGCTTTAATCTGATATTCAATCAGATTATATTGGCTGATGATAGCCTTATGAATAGACTTCCATATAGTGAGTAAATCATTAGTAGAAGTATTCATATGCCGTTTTAGGACCGAATGCGCCCCCTCGACACGTGATGATGCATTATTACCAAAATAGGTAAGGTTTTTGGTCTAAGCATAGACAAATCTCTCTTTATAGGGTAGCTATATATCTACGAGATAGCGTATAATTAGTAGATAAGATCTCCTATAGATCCGATTAAGGTTATCAAGATTAACCTTATATTTATCTTCGGTAGATAATTAGACTAATTAACACTATATATATATAAATTCATCGAATTAAGGAGTATTTTCGTTTAATTAGCTAATATCTCGTTTTGCCCTCGCTAAAACTATTTTGTTAATATACTAAATATATAATAAATATAGAGTATAATACCCCTAGATACTATATATCGTATTTATTAAAGCTAATTCGCGATTAGTTACCAAAATCGGACGAAAATTAGATTTAGATAAGAGATTTAGCTAATTAAAAAAGGTCTAAAGTACCTAAATATAGCTTATTTTAACCTTATTAGGCATAAAATATAGAGCTACAGTGAATATATAGTTTAATAGCGTTATATCTATTATATAAAATAAAGGTATACCATACCGATTAGTCTTATATATATAATCTATAATAAAAACCTTAAAACATTAGCTAATAAAATCATATAAAAATAGATAAGATAAATACCTTATTATATAAATTAGCTAATTAAATTAACTAAGGATAAGAGAAAAGAAAAAATTCGATATACCCTATATTATCTTATTTAAATAAATATTTATAACCTTCTAAATCGAGTAGTATCTATAGATATTTAAGAATACTATATTCTCCTATCTCTTTTCGTCGAATTTCTGCTTATATATTATAGATATCGCGTGGTATAATTCGTTAATAAGGGGACTCGCTATATAGTATACTAATAATATATTTTAGTCTAATAGCAGAGAGTCGTTAAATTAAGGTTTTCTACGCTAGGGTAAATTAACGTGCGATTAGGTACGTTATTATATCTTGATTAGCAGAATAATTATACGTAGGGTTCTTTACCTAAAATAGCTAATCAGAACTCCTCTAGCGACTCCTATATACCAAAAATAGACAATTTTACCGCCGAGTACTCGTTTTACGCCTTTTAACGCCTACAGGCGCTTATATTCGGTCCGAATATACCCTAGATCTATCGCAGTAGAGATAGACTTGCTTATCAGTATTAGACCGCTTAATAGTAGTAGCATACCCCTGCGCTATACCCTATTAGCGTATAAAATCGACCAATTCATCCCGATTAGGGAAGGTTCATTATGGTAGGGGCAGCAGATCGGTAATAGCAGCGGTAGGCGAATCAGCATACGAATCGGCAGGCGAATCAGTAGGCGAATTAGCGAGGGGTCTAGTAGGCAAATCGACAGTCGAATTACCAGTAGTAGCAGCAGAGATATCAGGGGGAGTAGTGGCAGTAGGGGTGCTAGGGGTAGGCATAGCGGGGTTGGTTTGCATGGTATGCATGATAGAGCAGACGAAGCAGATAGGGTATGCAGAAAGCGAAGAACTAGCAGGGTAGTAATAGAAGAGAAAAAGAGATAAAGCAGAATATTGAGTAGATATACAGTATATAGTTGCTATAGTAATGAAAATTGATTATATCAGCGATTTTGCTTATATCAGAAAATAAGGTGTCAATAGCGAAAATCTTGAGGTGCCCCTATCAATACCCAAACGCATTTCCTTGCTTAGATGACTATTTTTGTTGGGACTGGGGTTCTGTCAGCATTTCTCCACCGCCTCCCTGACCGCCTGCAGCGGACCTGGAGCTAGCAGATAGCTTTCACTTCTCTTCTACTTCTCTTCAACCAACATACAGACAATTTGACTCTCTCTCTCTTCTGCTCTCTTTCCTCAGCAGTGCTTTTCCGGCTTCCCCTAGTGCTACCTGAGCATTTTCCCAATAAATTCTTTTTTATCACTTCTAGAACCAAAAAAAAATATTATTATAATGTTAAAAATATATGAAAAATAATATGTATATATATATATTATATTGATGTACTAAAAACGACTTGCATTACTTTATATAGTATAGGCGGTAACCTAATTGGGATGTGGACCCAGTGGGGCGGGGGATAAAATTCTGAACTGGCAGTGTAAGTAAGAGACCCCCAAAGAGTGGGTCAACCTTTAAGCCTCGATGACTGTGCCGCAGCGGCCCCTTCTCTCTATGAGGCTCGCTGTTGGGGGCGGATAGCCCTGCATGTAGAACTGCTTTATACGCTCGACGTATGATTTCGAACTGCATGGTTTCACACTCTGTCCTTATGCTCCCATGTCGACCAAGATCAACAGCAGTGTTGATTCGTAGGTTTAAAGTTCACTTCACAGTCGGCATAGTGAGTGTTGTAACCATCACTCCCAGTGAATGGTGTACTCGAATCATGGTCCCTGGGGGCCAACTTGATATAGCCTTGGACCCACCAGGGCAACTTACAAAGGAGTTAAACACAAGGCCAATGATTGACTATGTAAATAAGTTAGAACTAGTTGAGGGCTACTAATATCTCCTGTGGTGTCTTTATTTTCTCTTCCCCCACAACCTCCACAGCGCTATCTCCCATCCCTCAATCCACATACCAGCCACTATGAGGCTTTCCTTCATACTGGCGTTGGTTCATTGGCTCTCCCCTCTATTAGCATGGGGATCGCCTGATCTTGTCAAGTTGGACAAGCTCTTCTGGAGTCTCCCGTCCGGTCATACGGGAAGCTGTATGGACCACGATATGGAGACGATCATTCAAGAGGCAAGCATCCACATCAACAAGGCAGGATACCTCCTCAATTTCCTGATGAATGGGAGGGTCAAGAACAGCCAACTTTCAATCAACGCGCTCAATCTAGCATCGGAGTATTTCGGCATCGATTACGAGGAAGAAGACGATTGCGTCCTCGCAATCACTTGGGGATTAGATGCGGTAAGGGAGGCCTTTGGTAAAAGAGAAACCCCCCCCTTCTTCCTTTGGCATTTGAACAAATGATCTCGGGAGGCTGACTTCTTCGTGCGATTGTCAGATAATTACCGTGCTGCCTCAGTCTTGTTACAGGGCAAGAAGAGAAGATGGTATACCGAGTGCACTGATGACGACCTGTTTTGGGCGTCCACAATGGGCGATCTGGGCAACAAGACACACCCAGACATTCCTCTGGTGGAAGAATGGAACAAACTTCAAAAAAGGAAAACCGACTCGACGTCAAAGGGCTTTATATCGCCAAAAGCCTTTCGCCACAGAAAGACGGGGTCTACCAATACCAAAAAGTGAAATTCGCAACAGGAGGTCCCAAAGCAGGCCCCGACACGAAATACTGTGTGAGCACGACTGGCGGAGAAATGACAACAGCCAGCGTTACGCAACTCCCTCGCCTCTTGGTTCTTTGCAAGAAACTTTTTACCCTGAAAACTCTCCCCCAAGCAAGAGAGGAGGCAGAGAAACTAATGAAAACGAATGACCCATATATCGATGATTGTGAAACTAGAGCCTCTCATCTCGTGCACGAGCTTATGCACATGGTCAACTCGAGAAGTAAGTGTGTTGGTCCTCGCCCCGATCACAACCAGACTGACTCTGGACCTCCAGTTGTCGACGTGCCGGTGCGGGAAAATGGTGTGATAAAGTCGGTGTACGGCCCCGCGATGTGTAAGAAATTGGCCCGACAGAAATTTGATGAGACCTGGGGTAGGAAGGCTACTGACAACGCGGATAACTACCGGTTGTTCGCCTTGGGAGCCACCTTCAAGAATGTTAACTGGTGGCCGCAGGGGTACGCGGTTAATGTCGAGGGTGAATCAGATAACTAGGAAGCTGTCCTTGAACGAGAATTGAGAATTGAGAAATGCCGTAGTGAGGACATTGGATGATCGATAGAAATTGACTATAGAATCATTTGATAGGGCGGGATTGCGCGTTGATAACCTCGGGTTTCAACATATGACGGTTTCTTTATAAACCGAAGAACCCGCTGTTCTTGGGTGACTTTTTGTTTTGCACCCTCATGCGACCGCCTCTTCTTTACGGGACTGTGACTCTGAGCGTTCGGGGTGTTGATTCGGCTCGTCGTGAGGCTCCCTTCCTTAGACCTGGATAGACCCGCGGACAACCTATATGGGTCGACCTGTGGGTCAGCCTATAGGCGGGTCGTGGGTCAGACCTCTTGACCCGTGGGCGGGTTTAGGGTGTTAGGGTGCTAGCAGGGAATGCCGTCGGTATCGGTCGGAAAACACCGCTAGATTTCGTCCGAGCGTCCGGGGGGTACCGGTCGGTCTTGGCGGGTATCAGCTGTTTCGGTAGGTGGATCCGGGTATCGGGCGGGTGATTGGGCCCGACCGATACCGTGGCGGGGCGCGCGAGGGTATTAGACGGGTGATTAGGTCCGCCTGATACCGTTATAGGGCAGAGGGAGGGGATCGCTCCTAATAGGCTATCTAAAGGGGGTCGAACACGAAGATTTTTAGATAGTAATATTAATTATCTAGAACTCTCTTTATATCGAATCTTAGTAGTATCACTATAATAGATAAGATAGGAGATAGAAAATCGCGAACTCGCGATTTTGATAGAGGATACTAAGAAATAAGAAAGAATAATTTCTCTCTCTCTCTCTCTTTTTTTTCGATTTTTTAATCTCTATAGCTATAGTCCCTAAACTAAATTAACTACGTAGAAGAGACTATATAATAAAATAGTAAAGTAACGGAAATAGAAAGAATAAGATAAATAGAGAGAGATAACTATTATTATTTAGATAGTATTAAATATTAATTAATTATTATTAAAAAAAAAGATTAGAAGGCTTATAGTCGCGTCTATAGTAATATAAGTATCACGAGTACTATTACTAGTATTACTAGCCTTACTTTAGCCTCTATCTTAAAACCAGGGTTTTAAGATATATAGCGATACTATTTTATAAAACTTAGAACCCTAGTTCTAATATTAGTAGTATTACTATTATTAATATTATCGCCGATTACTAGTATCTAATTTTTATAGAGTAAATAGCTTAAGGACGGCCGTACTCTATCTAATTATAATATCTAGAAGAAGTCTACCCTATATCTAGTCCTACGCCTACGTAGTAATATATATATCTATACGTTTCTTAGCTATCTACCTCTATTATTTAGTTTATATTAACTTTTCCTATAGTTATCAAGACTCTTACCGATAAAACTATTACCCTTAAAATAAAGTCCTCCGATACTATTAATAATATTAAATCGAAGATTTAGGATAAAAAAAGTATCCTATCTAACTAGTAACGCCTAATTTTCGTAGATAAATAGCTAAAGAGTAGTTATACTTTTATCTAACTATAATATCTAGAAAGAGTCTACCCTATATCTAGTTCTTCGCCTACGCGGTAGTATATAGATCTTTATTAAGACCCTTACCGGTAAAACTATTATACCCCTAAGATTAAGTCTAGTATTATCTATTAATAACGTTAAATCCAAGATCTAGGATAAGGAAGGTATCCTACCTAACTAATAATATCTGATTTTCGCGGGGTAAGTAGCTTAAGAATAGTTGTATCTTTTCCGACTATAATATTAATATAAATAATAACGCTAATAGTATTACTAGTATTACCGACTAGTATTATTATTACTAGTATCTAGTATTATTAATATTACTAGCCTTATTTTAGCCCCTATCTTAAAACTAGGGTTTTAATAATATAGATATAAATACTTAAAACCCCGGTTCTAATATATAGGGCCTTTATATCCTCTATATAATATCTATTGTAATAAAACCTTCTTAGTAAAATAGAGTTATATATCTAATCAATAATACCACCCTCGAACTGGAGTAATATAATTCTATCTTTATTTAGGAAACCACACTATAGGATATAGATACCTTAATACCTTATAAACTTTCCTTTCTAGGTAATACTATTATATAAAATAGCACTAGGTATTACCTATCTAGCTAATACCCTTATATAGCAGTACTAGGTATTACCTATCCAGCTAATACCGTCCTAAGGCATCTAGGCAAAACTCCTAGTTAAGATACCCTAAAGCCCTTTAAAATATAAACCTATATACCTTATTACTAATATTTTTAGGTATCCTATTATCTTACACCCCTATCATCCTACGTAAGAAATACATAGCCTTAGTAATAGCGGTATTAGATTCTTTATATATATAATAGTACGTCTTCGATCCTTAACGCGTCTATTACTACTAAACTACTATTACCGATAAAAAAAAGAAAAGAAAAAGAAAAAGATCACGAAAAACTAAATCCTACAAAAATCGTTTAACCCCCCCCCCGACCGAACGCCCTCCTTATTAAGTATATTTCTATCCCCCTTTTTTTTTTTTTTTTTTTTTTCTTTCTTTCTACGCTCTCCTATTAATACTATTTATTAGTTTTACTACTAAAGTACCCTAATCTAACGCCTAGTTATAAAAGTTAGAGATATTAACGTAGGCTTAGCGACTAATAAGTTACTATCTATATTACTTCTATCTATCTTAGTATAAGACCCTCTCTCGTTAGATATTAACCCCTACTATAATAGACTTAGTTAATAGATAACCTAGATTAGTCTCTCGCTTAAGATATACTAGAGGCCGATACTCTATCTATCTCTAGATTATCCCTATCGAAAAAGGCTAAATAATCAGTAAGCTTACCCTCTAAGGCTATAGAGATAGTATTATTATCTTTATCCTACGGTTAGATTAACCCGTTAACTTTAGAAAGATCGCTTAGTAAAGAAAAAAGGGGCGTACCTTAACCACCGGATAATCTATATAGGCTACCGGTCTTTCTACTAATATAATAAACGGAACTCTAGTCTCTAAGATTATACCTAGAGACTATCTAAATTAATAATCTAGCCTATATTAAAAGGTAAAGATAGAGATAGAGCCGCCCCTCTAATATCTACTGATACCTATCCTAGAACTAGGGTTCTAAGGCGGACCTTAAAACCCTGGTTCTAGGATAGATAATCGATTAATAAAGTTATTAATAAATAAAGATCTAATTAGCTATATATATATTTACCACGTTTTTTCTTCTATCTATTATTACTAAAAGAGGAGTTACTACTATATTATCGTTTCTCTTTAGCTTTATTAATACTATTATTATTATTATCGTTATTATTATTATTATCGCTATTATTATCGCCGCGCTCCGCTCTCTCCCTTTTCTTTTTTATAGCAACGGTAACGGCGGCTATTATCTCTTTATTCTCTTATTAAGTTATATAATTTATCGTACTATATTTATTTAGGGTCCTTTTAGGGGAATCGTTAAGAAGGATATTGATATCCTTAATATCCTTAAATATCCTATAGTCGGTATAACTAGATCTAAGCCCTAATATAGACCGTAGGAATTCTACTAAAAACGTGGTAATATCCTTAGTTTATTAGATTTCCTCTTCGGCGGCGTTATCCTTATCGATATCTATCTAATCGCCCTCCGTATTTATCTTACTATCTAAACTATGATCTTCTTTCTTTTTATTATCCTCCCTAACTATATCAGTCCTAAAGGCCCTATCTCGATAGTCCTTAGTAGCTAGAACCTTTTTACCCTCTATTCGCGCGAGCTTAAGCTTAGCTAAACGCGTTATAATAGCGTTATAATATTAGGCTACTAACTAAAATAGGATCTTTTAAGTATTATTAAACTTAATATAATAATAGATTATATAGTTCTAGAATAGGATCTACGCCTTTTACTACTCTATCTAACCTAGATAGTATATCTACCTAATTACCTAGAAAAGACTATTAAAATTAAGCGATAACTTAAATAATATAACCTAGGAATAATACGCGTGGAAGTTAAGGCCTATTACTCCTATATTATAAATAGTTATAAAGGCTATATAGATATTAGTCTTAGATATAAATTTCGATAAGGCTGCTATATAGTCCGTTAGGCTTATATTCGCCTTAATAGTTATATAGTCAATATTTAGGATAAATAGGAATATCTCTATTAGCCACGTTATTATCGGCTAATAATAAAAGATAAAGAAATATAGCCTTTGCTTTATTAGTTTAAAAAACCCCTCCCGATTAAAAAGATTATAGAGGTAATAGAGATAGAGATATTACTTAGCTATATAATAAGCTATCCTAATCTAGTTATTTAATATAAGATAATTTAGGTCTAAGATAGAGTAAACGTAGAAGAGACTAAACCCCTAATCTACCGCCGATATATTCTTATAGATAGTCTTAGCGAAGATCGCCGCTAGGATCTCTAAGGTCTATCGCCGGAAGAGATCTAGCTTAGGGTATATCCTAATAAAAGAAAGGGACCGATATATCTTTTAGTTAATCCGGCTAGGCGTCTCCTATAGCTAGGCCTCGTTATCTATACCCCTATTTTTCTTTATTATATATACTAATTAGTAGTAGATCCGGTTATATTTAGCCTAGTCGTCTAGGCTATAACGTAGTTTAATAGTTATAATTTATATCCGCGGAATCTCTTTACTAATTTAGATCGTGACCTTATTCTCTAATATAAGTAAATCCCTTATATCCTATTAAAGAAGGTAGAGCCGGAATAAGATAGATAAAGCCTTAAAGCTAGTAACTATAATTAGATAGCTACCCTTAGCTAGCTTAACGAGACGCGTTAGGTCTAGTAGGGTATATAGCCTCGGGTTAGGTAAAATAGTATATAGCTCCGACTATTTAATATAAATATTTAAGGGGTTTATAGTCTTATCGGTTTAACTATTATTAGGAAATAGGAGAGTAATTACTCTATCCCTATTAGTATTAGTCTCATTATACGTTTTAGGGTTATA